AAAAAAAAAAACAGTGTAGTACTGGTTGAAAGATACACAGATCAACCAATGTGGCAGAATAGAAAGCTTACAAATAAACCCAAACATAAAAATACTAATTATAGGCAAATGTGCAAAGGCATTTCAGTACAAAAAGGGTAGATTTTTCCCCCACAAATTTTGCTAGAAAAATTGGACAACTATATAATTTTTTTTAACTTTGACCTATTGCATCACAGAAAATTTGGATCAAAATGGATCATAGACTTAAATTTAACCCATGAAACAATAAACAGTACACCATTATGACCTCAAATTATGCAAATATTTCTTAGACACAACCCTAAAAGTGTGACACATAAAAAAAAAGTGATTAACTGTACTTGATCACAATTAAATACTTCTTCTTAAAGACATTGTGGGGGCTGGGGATGTGGCTCAAGTGGTAGCGCGCTCACCTGGCATGCGTGCGGCCCGGGTTTGATCCTCAGCACCACACACCAACAAAGATGTTGTGTCCACTGAGAACTAAAAAATCAATATTAAAAATTCTCTTTCTTTCTCTCACTCTCTCTCCTCTCTCACTCTCTAAAAAAAATAAAAAAAAAAAAGACATTGTGAAGACTCATCAGACTGAGGTAACATAATTGCAATACATACACACACCTGATAAAGAGCCTACATATAGAATATGTAAAGAATTTTCTTTTTTTTTTTTTTTAATGTGGTGCTGAGGATCAAACCCAGGACACAGCACATGCTAGGTGAACTTTTCTACTGCTGAGCCACAATCCCAGCCCATGTAAAGAATTTTCAACACTCAGTAGGAATATTAACAATCTGTGTTGTTTTCCTAATGTGCAAAAGATTTTAATAAACACGTTGCCAAGGAAGATATATGGATGGAAAATCAACAAAAGATGCTGCACACCATTAGTCATTAGGGAAATAAAAATTAAACTTACCTCCAAATATCACAAAGTATCTATTACAATGACTAAAATTAAAAAGATTGACCATACCAAGTATTGCCAAAATGCAGAGTAGATCTCACTCTCATGAGAGTGAAAAACGCTTTTGAGTTGCTTTAAAAGTTTTTACTATATGATCCAGCCATTCATTCCTAGATAGTTCCCTAAGAAAAAATAAAACAAGCTTTCCTATAGTTATAAACTAGAAAAATCCAAATGTCAATCAACAGATGAATAGATAAACAAATTGTGGTATATCCATAGGATGAAATAATACTTAGTAATAAAAAGTACTACTGGTACATATCACTACATAAATGAGCCTAAAAATAATTATTCTGAGAGAAAGAAGTAAGACAAAAAAGAAATATATATAGTATGATTTAATTTATATGAAATTGTAGAAACATATAGTAATAGAAAGTTTGCCATCAGTGAGTAGTTCCCTGGAACAAGTTGTGGAGGAACATGCAAAGATGGGCAAGTCATATATGCATTCAACTTCATCTTTCCCATTGGCAAATGAAAACATTGTCATCCCCAAGGATGCTTTCAAGTCTGTGATTTATTTCATTTGTCAGGTCTAATCTGAAGTTATTTTTCTCTGATGCTCTCAACTTCTGGAGAATATCATTACTATTCGTTTAAGGCATCAGTCAAACATCTCTCATTATAGATACCTAAACTTTAAGTTCAAGTAGCAATATCCTGACTTTTCTGGGAGAAATTGTCTCAATTTCACTTCCCCTTATCCTAGTTTAGCTCCTGCAATAAAGGCCCCATTTAAGACAAAACATTCTGTCTCCTCTTTTCTCTATGTACAATTTCTCTTTAAGCTCTCCTGATAATTTGCCAGAAGTCCTAAAAATAGTTGTTCCTCTGCAATCTATAATTGAATGTTAAAGCAATAACCTTATGATGTTTCTTTGATAATTGTTCATCTTCCAGATCACTTGCCAATTACTATTTTAACTTAGCAAAGTTTTTAAGGCAAGGTATAGACAACACTGGGGGATGAAATTGGGCCTAGATAGAAAGAAAGTCAACCTGTGATACATAATTCCACAGGAAATGAGCTCAACACACCTAACAGGAACCTTTAAAAGAAAGATGGTAAAACACTCTTGGTTAACCTGTTGGTGAAGGAAAAGCAAAGTGTA